GTAGAAACTCTTTGCACCTGTTCAGTGTAGAGTGAATCTGTAGAGTTGTCAGATATTATCCAGTAGGCATTCCTTTCTGGTGACGTTAATGAATTTTTTATTCATTAAAAGATTATCAAGTTTTGTTTCTCAGGTTCAAAGTTGAAGCTAGTATTTTTTTTATTACATTGAGAGGCACACGTTTGAAGGAAACAATACGGTGACGTGTTCAACCCGCCAGATTCTCATCACGGATTAAATGGTTTTGGTTTTTAACAGTGTCCAATTCGACTAAACTTGGATACGTAGTATATTTTTCAGTAATGTTTTAACAGTTCTGAACTCCGATTATGATCCCGAGGAACAAATGAGCCGTTTATTTTGAAAGTGGCATAAGTCACTTTGTTTTTAAGTCGATATATTTAAGGGTTTGCGTTTTAACACGTTTCAAAATATGGATGCTAATTTTCGAGAAGATTTACTTGTATTTGTTATCTCGGGATACTGATATTTTTCTCAGTGTAAATAATTTCGTATAAACATTAAAAAATCACCACTTTTCATTACGGTAAAGTGACTTATGCCACTTTCAAAATAAACGGCTCAAATATGTCACTATGTCGTTACCTTTAATTATATACTCTGTCTTCCTCTGAAATGAAAATTCTAATCATTTAATCAAACATGTGTTGGTTTTCATGAGACGTCTCATAATCTGGGAAAATATTCAACGGAAGTACTTTTTAGCTGTCCATATTCATCATAAGGAGATGAAATCATCCTTCGAAATTCAGAAATCTATCTAACTCGAATAGTTTAATAACAAACAGAAGAAATATGCTAATTCGATAGTCAGCGTTGGAATATTACCACTATTTAACAAATTTAATGAAATATGAATGAAATATAAATAAAATTCTTTGGTGAGCATACAGTTCTGTGTTGTGAAACGCCATTGACCGTCTCTTGAGCATTCCCTTTGATTCGATCTTGTTACAGTTCTTAGATACGATAAGTGTGCGTTTAATAGATATTACAGCACTTTACACTAATTCTTGGTTTAAATTGAGACATAGTTAAGCGTATAAGTAGACTGCAGATTTCTCATCAAAATTGATACGTTCCGCATCAGTTGCCAAAATAAGAAACCATTCGTTTCTTTCTGCAGTTTTAAATTGCACAGAAATGGATAAAAATTGTCAATAATAATATAATATATAATAATAATATATATATAATAATTGTCAAATTGTGATAAATGGATGAAGTCCGCAGTCTACGAACAAATATTAAAAATCAACTCTCTAGAATACGATCTCTCACGAAAAAATCGTAGCTTAACCAAAAGAAATCATCGCCTATTAGAGTTTCGTACCAAAGCGTTGACTGAGAACGGATTCCACTGTTTCTTGCCAGTGACCTCTCTGACACGGATTTTCGCTGGGGACCCGGAAATCGAGGAAAGTAGATAATGCGTGTACCGCGAGTGAGCACGGGGAACGTGAAATTCGAGGCACCCATTAATGGACTCCGGCATCGAGATCAAATGAAGGGGCCAAGACGAAAGGACGGCTCGTTCCGCGCGCACCTAAGTCGTTGTTTGCACAGAAAGACGGAGAGTTTCTGCGGCAGCATGACGTACTGCTGCACGTATGTACACAGCAGGGCCAACCCTCGTGCCAATAACTGCCAAATGAAAATATATCTGTCTGCAAACAGACCGGCGGCTGCGGAGACAGCGCCCACGTAGCCGCGTGGAGGCCGTCGCGGATATCGAAACTCGTCGATTTTATTGTCCGAGCCCGCGGAAACATAAACAATACTTGTTGCCGCGGTTGTTTAACTATGCGGCGCGCGGTCCTGTTGCATAATTTAACCTTCGCACACCGGGCAACAGACGGTTTATCGCTGAACGTGTGCGTCGTTCGGACTTGTTGTTTTGCGGCGCGAATACTTTTCACTAACAATCTATAATCTTATTTGTTGTTGAAAATGATCGTCGATGGTTGCTTAGAATTTTTTGTGATTAAAAAAAAGAAATTGTCTGTACATTGATTTTAGTGCAAAATTATTGGAAATATAAAGTTTCTTTCATCTCTCTTGGAACAATTCGAGTTCGTGGCTTCGAACTACGCGGCTAAAAATATTTCAGTGAATTTTTCTGGAGCTTTCGGAAAGGACTCCAACGTTGTAGTTCGTAATCTAAGGAAATAGTGTAGCATTGCAGCATTAAATATTCGATTCGAAGAAATACAAGAAGATACAGCGCGATGGAAAGATAGTTCACACGTAGGACGAGTTGACTCATCTAAGCATCTAACAAATGAACGATAAACAGACACGTGATTGGAGTATTTGATCATAAATAGAGGACACTGTCTAGACGAGCATCTTCTTTAACTGAATAATGACTAAATTGTAGGGGTCGATTTGTATAAACAATTTGTAGAAGGTTAGGGACAAACACGTCTGGGTTGAGCCTTCTCATTCGCGCTCTCTCGTTCGCTTTATTTTTCTGTACTGTGGAAAGAAAGCTAATTTTACTTAATCGGAAAGCAAACGAGTTAAATTCATTTTATAGCGCCGAGCAACAATCGACAGGAAATAATTATGACAATAAAATTTCTCGCAATTTTGACGTTGATACTAATAAATGAGCCGTTTATTTTGAAAGTGGCATAAGTCACTTTACCGTAATGAAAAGTGGCGATTTTTTAATGTTTATACGAAATTATTTATACTGAGAAAAATATCGCATTTTATAGCGCCGAGCAACAATCGACAGGAAATAATTACGACAATAAAATATCTCGCAATTTTGACGTTGATACTAACAAATTAGAAATCTTTCGATTATAGAAATATTTGCGATCTTGGATAAATGGTTTCTAATTTGCACTGAACTAAAATTTAGTTGAAAATCTAAGCGATCGTTTCTTGGTGCTTTTAGCGAATGAAGTTGGACACCCCATTTTTGTTCAGCATCTTGTACATTCACGCGCATTATAAAGTCATCAAATTGCCAGGTAATCGCGTATCAGTCATTTTATAGCGCCGAGTAACAATCGACAGGAAATAATTATGACAATAAAATATCTCGCAATTTTGACGTTGATACTAACAAATTAGAAATCTTTCGATTATAGAAATATTTGCGATCTTGGATAAATGGTTTCTAATTTGCACTGAACTAAAATTTAGTTGAAAATCTAAGCGATCGTTTCTTGGTACTTTTAGCGAATGAAGTTTGACACCCCATTTTTGTTCAACATCTTGTAGATTCACGCGCATCATAAAGTCATCAAATTCCCGGGTAATCGCGTATCAGTCGAAACTTTGATACAAGCTCCGGTAACGTTTCGCAACTTGTGTAATGGCTCCGAGTCATGAAGAAGTATCGAACTGGCGGGAAGAGATCCGAAGAAGGGAGCAAAGCGAGGACATATTTCCCAGGGAAAAAGTTTAACCGGCGCCGTGCGGCGGTTCCGGCTAAATCATAATTCGAAGCCACATCACGCAGACCCGGTGTCATTAAGGTGTCGTAAAGATTTTCCCGGTGGATTGTTTTTCAACCAACCGGCCGATCTGATATATTTTTATGACCACTCGCGATTCCCAGAACTGATTAACTTGCAATTGCAGACGGTATATACGTCTTCTAATAACGTGACCTAAAAAAATGGCAAGGCAAAGAACGAAAGGAGCGGACACGTAATCTCTGTCGAAGGATCGCGAAGTACAACACGTGCTACTGTTACTTCGCCAGGCCGATCAATGGTGGTTTTCAACTTCCACATCGTGGTCGATTGAACCAGTAGTTTACGTAGATTTGAACGATAACGGAACGAGCGCTCCGAAAACACCATGGAACTTTTTAAACGAACGATGGCTTTGTATTTATCGCGAACGGACATTCGGTACCGTTGCCTTCTTTGATGTACGCCGAAAGTTTAGGGCAGTTCGCCGATTCACGGGAAATTTATATCGCGTGACCAACTTCCTACTGTCAGAAACATTTTCAAAAGGAATTGGCTATTAAGCTAGCTTTTATAATACAGTTCTTTGTAGTTACATATTAAGACGTTTCGACGGCTCGCATATTTTGATTTCTAGGAATTTATGATTCCAAAGTTTTCATCGAAGCTGTACCGAATTAACCTTTTAGGTTAATTATTTAGATTGTTTCACATTTCTTTTGTCTTCCTAAAAATGTCTCGCAATCCGAAAGTGGCGGGTTCCTCGGGCCATTTGAAGCAACTTTTTCCTTTACAAAAATGTTCTCCAAGGCACCGTTAACGAGTTATTAACGAAAAACAGTGACCAATGAGAGGCGAGCTCAGCTGGCGCGAGGCGATCGAGCCGATAAGCGGAACTGGGCTTCGCGCGCTGGTTGGCTGGGCCGCCTCGCGTCAGCCGTACTCGATTCTTATTGGTCACTGTTTTTCGTTAATAACTCGTTAACGGTGCCTCGGAGAACATTTTTGTAAAGCAAGAAGTTGCTTCAAATGATCCGAGGAATCCGCCATTTCCGGATTGCGAGACATTTTTGGGACACCCTGTAGACTGTTGTAAATCGATGTGAAGACAAAAGAAGTGTAAAACAATGCATATGAAGACGATTATTTGATTCAAACGATGAGCGAGTGAGCTACTAGAGCAAGCCACTATAGTGGCGCGTCGTTAATTTGATGTTTTATTTTGGAGGAGATGATAAAAGTCTGAAGACTGAAAGAAGAATTTGTGAATGAAGGAGAGCCCATCTCGCCGGATAGGTAATAGATGTAGAAGATTGTATTGATTGAAATTACAATTGGATTAATTGTTTAGAAAATTATATAGAGAATTGTTTGAGTTTGAGTAACACTATCAGAAAGAAAACTGTGCAGAATCTTGTTGAGTGTATTTACACTCAATACTGAGTAATATAACGATATTTGGTACAATGCACTTTATTTTTTTAATACATCGTGGGAGCAAACGAATAATAATTGTTTACCAGATTTCTGTGAATTTAATTACAGATGCCAGCAGTTCGTACAAAGGAGGCTGGAGCCACGCCACGTCGCCGGCTCCTGGACAGGGTAAGTTTCGACATCTTTTGTTATATGAGCCGTTTATTTTGAAAGTGGCATAAGTCACTTTACCGTAATGAAAAGTGGTGATTTTTTAATGTTTATACGAAATTATTTATACTGAAAGTTAGCTTCCATATTTTGAAACGTGTTAAAACGCAAACCCTTAAATATATCGACTTAAAAACAAAGTGACTTATGCCACTTTCAAAATAAACGGCTCATATTATGCAAACTATGCTACCGCTAGAAAATGTGTACTCGCTAGACTGCGAATTTGTAAAATTAAAAATTTTTTGAAGTATAAAATAAAAATTAAAAAGATAAAAATTTTCTACCTCAATTGATTACTAAAGTAAAATGAAAGTTTGTTTTCTCTCTTAATAGATCCGATAGTGTGAAAATAATGTAACACATCATTCATAAAATCTTCTAATCTTTAGATTTATGTTCTGCTTACGTATTTTTGTCATAAATGCGTAAAACCCACAGTCACATAATCACTTAAGCCAATCACAAAAAGGTCTACGAAAAGGTCGATAGTGATTCATAATTGCTAGATTACTACTTTTATTTATTTGGCATTATATTTTGCCATAAAAATGCATCGTGAAACTATAAAGTATTACAACTAAAATTATATTGAATGTCGTACAAAGTTTTAGGTACTGTCATAAGGGTTAGAAATTAAAATGCTGTTATGAACCAAATTTATTGAGATATTTATTGATGTAATACTATTGCATTCATCCATTTTTGACCAAAATGGCTAGGTTAAATATAAAGATCTGAAGATATTTAAAGAATTATAGAATGTCTTTCTGTGTGCAACTTCTTAAAATCGCTAAAAGAGGAAAGAATAGTTGAAATTAACAAAAAAGATTAAGAAAATGAGACAAAAATCAAAGATACAATTAGAGAACAAACATTTTTATTTCCTATATTTCTTTCGAATCTAATTCGACGTTATCTAAAACCCCAAATATGGGCGAGTCATTTTCATGTGATGTTCGTCATCAGTTTCATCAGAATCCTCACTATCATAAACTTCTGCTAATATTGTTGGTTGATACCAATCGTCCTAACTAAAGATATACGTTAAGAAAAGGATATAAATGGTCCATTTTGAATTTCAAGTTTTTGACTTCGTTGGCTTCGTTTGGATTCGTTATCAGCATCTTCAAAAATGCTAAATTACAAGACTCCAGAAAAATTCACAGAAATCCTGATTTTTCACTGCGGGAATCCCCGCGATGATTCCCTGCTGGGTGGAAAACAATCCCCGATCGTCCCCGGGTCGCCTTATCGCTGGTCGGCTTGCTAACTCGAGAAGATCTGAACGGGTTCTGTTCGTCGGGTTTTCCTTGGTCGTTCTCGATTCGCCACATGTAACCCGAAGGGCTAAAGGGTGGCGGCGTGGGCGTCGTTGGGTGCAAGTTCACGCGTCGCGACTCCGGGGCTCGCTCGAATGGGACCCGGCCTCTTTGTGTGTATCCTCTACGTCGGTGGTTCGCGCGTGTATGTGCGTACGTGTGTGTGTGTGCTCGAGCGGGGGTGGACTGTCGCGTGTATGTGCGCAGAGGTGTGTGGGTGGGCGTCCCGGCGCTTTGTGGCGCGTTGAACCGCGGCCCCTTTGTCGTCGGCAGAGCAAGCCCCGGGGGCTGTGTAGAGACGCTTGGCCGCGCGGCAACACGGAACAGCCGCGGCCCCACCCTGCGGAGAGAACGCGCGGAGAGGACGCGGACGCTCGCACAATCATCTCGCGGAGAGATCAGAGAGGCCTGCCAGCCCGCGGGCAGGTTGTTATAAACGGCTTCTGGCCTCGATCCGTCGCCCTGGCCAGGTTACAGCCAGGCGCCGCCATGGATCGCCTAGCAAAGGGCGAATTAACGCTCCGATTCGTCGTCCTGGGACCGATTCCGATCGCTCCAAGATCCGATTCTGAACCGTCGCAACCAACGCCCCCCCTCACCTCCGCCCTAACGGACCCCTATCGACCGATTAATTGTCTGGGAATGAAAAGCGATTTCGAGACGATTACTTCGAGGCGAAACACCAGAAGCCCTGTTTTTTCAATCAGCGATGGTTCGATTCTGTTTGGTACGCGCCGGTTGTTTTCCCTGTTTCGTAGTCAATAGCGAGTCGAATGAAAAAGATGGTGCCTGGTTGCGAGTTTGCATTCGCTGCGATGCATCGCGGTGATTAAAATCGAGATGGTTAATTGTTTCGTTTGATCTCGTTAGTTGTCTTTTACGGTTAACATAGAGTCTTTTGGATCTTTTGATTACGTTTTAAGGCTAGTCTTCGTATTAACTTTTGGTCTTGATGTGGAAATAGATTAATAATTCATAATTTTTTCATATAATTTATATAATCTTCGTATAATTTTTTCCGTTTCTATTTCTTGCTTTTATTTAGAATTACGATAGATCCATCGTTATACGAATTAATTACGAGAGCACGAACGTTGGAATAACAGAACAATTACTTGGATACATTGCTAAATGAAATCATGACTGATTTTCTACGATAAAGGAATCATGGTAGAGAATTCAGACATCATAGGACCGAATTAATCGAGCTTCCACAGTATCTGTGAATCTGCACAGACAAAACACAAACGCACTAGCTGATTTATATACTAAAACAATTTCGCAGCTACGAATATATTAGGTCTACCGGGAAGTTCTGTCCGTTTTTGAATTGAAATATAACACATAACATATGTTTTACAAAATTGTACGTTCCTAAGAATTTAATCCTCTTGATTATATCTTATGAGACTGCTTAAACATCAGCTCAAGATTCGACGCGATAGATCACTGATTCTGTTCAAACTTTCTTCATTTCACAATTTTAATTCGGCGATTATATTACCTATTTGATCCATTCACGTTCCAAAATACAGTAAATTCTCCCTAATTTTCCTTCAGCTTGTAAACAAAAATGAACAATTTGGGAACAGAAGACACGATTATTCGATTATTCTGTACCTCGTTTTTATAATTGTTGACAATCGGCAACTCTAAAATTGAGCCGCGATCGTATCTCCTCTCTCAAAATTTTTCATTTTTGTTTACAAGCTGAAGAAAAATGATGGAATATTTATTAAGTCTACCGGAAAGTTCTGTCCGTTTTTGAATTGAAATATAACACAATTTTCATACATTTAATGATATTTATCGTAGAATATACTTTCCATCGTTACTTATGACTTCTTGCCAGCGTGATGGCAACTTGTAAATGCCATTTTTTAAAAATGATTTATTTTTAGAGGCGAAGAACTCGACTAGTGCTCGATTGACATCAGCTTCGGTTTTGAATTTTTTTCCTGTAAAAAGTTTTGCAAAGAGAGAAACAAGTGATAATCGGAGGGTGCTAGGTCTGGGGAGTACGGTGGATGCGACAGAATTTCCCAGCCTAGCTCTGCGATTTTCTGACGAGTCGCCAAAGCAGCATGTGGTCTGGCATTATCATCGATAGCCATGTTTTCACGATCGCGTCTCGCTTAATAATGACATGAGGCATCTTTGTTTCAGTTTATTTAGGAGAGCACATGTGTGTAAATGCAATGATAAAGAGAGATAGTCATATATGTCTCGAATCAACATGTGCATATGGATTGAAACTCGAAGTGACACTATCGGACAGAACTTTCCGGTAGACCTAATATTTAAAACAGTTTGGCATTTTTCAAGTTTCGTAGAAACGAATTTACGAACCGATACGTCGAGAGAAAATGTTTGCACGATGTGCAAGCGAATGTGATCGAGCTTGAGGACGAATATTGCGTTACCACTGTTTTCTTTTGATGCAAGTATTTATTAAGCGGCAGTATTACGCCGGGTGCCATCCCCATAGAGAAGGTTAACACGTACCGACACAATCATTTCGCAGAGATCACAGCCCCGCCCCGGGGGTCGCTTCATGTAAACGGCTTGCGGTCTCGATGCCTCGTTAGATTACAATCGCCACGGATCGACTATCAAAGAGGGAACTGCTGGTACTGTTCACGCATACGCATTCGAGTGTTTTCGAATCAAATTTCCCGGATGGAATATTGCAAGATATTTTTGTTCAGATTTATGCAAGCTGTGACTTTGCAATGAAAACGTTCATCTGATCTCTACAAGTAAAATCCAGTTCAGTGTCCGAATTATGATAAATACTTTTCTGCTTTCTATTGTAGCATTAATAGTCTTGTCATGAAGGATTTTATCTTAATTTTAAATATACTCTTGCAACTGTGGTTCTAAAAGTGTGAAAGTGATCTACTGTATAGAAAAACACATGCTTTTCGTTTCACAGTTGATGCACATATTTAATTAAAGTAGAAACATAATATTTTAGTAAATTGTTACATTGCTGTGCAGAATGAATCGTTACTTCGTAAGAAAAATGTGAAATTATAGAATAAAGGAGTAGTACAACTTGAATTTTTGTTTCGTTCTTTGTTCTATTTCATTCACGTTTTGCCCTTTGTTTTTTCTAACCCTCTATAAACCGACGTTTTTACACGAGTACAAAACAATCGATGTAACTTGAAAACAGTGAGTGAATAAGAAAAAAGTGAATTTACTGTGATGTGCGAAGTAAAATTTAAAAATTGCACTGCTTCCATCGTAACCTCTTTGATTACAAAAGAAAAACAGTGAAATAAGATACGGCATTGTGGCTAAAAAATCGAATAAAATTTAAAAACTTTGATAAACCAGTGTGTAACTTTAGTGAGCCACAAAGGGTTCATTTTTATTTTATCTTATTAATTATTGAAACACGTCGAGCGCCGTGTCGGTCACATATGGGTGACACTAATTTTTCCCTAATTTTGAAAATTCATTTTCACCGTAATATATTCGAACAAACTGAATTTGACTAGGATGTTTCGGATACGACAGTGTTCTAATGTCATCCACTATGACAAATATAAATAATATTATATATAATATTATATATATATTATATATTATATTATATATAATATTATATATATATATATATATATATAT